AATTTTTCAATATGAATATTTACGAGCAGAACATATTAGAAAATTCAATACCTTCATAATGAATTAGTCAATCTTAATAAGATCTATTTAATGAAGCAAAAACTCCTTTAATAAATTTCTTTAATTTTAATCTAGTACATTACTTGAAACAAATAAACCTTATATAATGAATGTAATGCGTACACCTGCTATGCAAACATTATTTCTTTATGCATCAACACTTGAAACAAATAATGATTTTACTCGTATACTTTGTGATCAATGGCTTGAAATAAAATTTGAAAATTCTGAAACAGCACAAAGTATTATATCATCAATATTACTTTTACGTAATGCACGTGATCTTCTCCTTCAAATGACATTACAAGGTATTTAAATATTCTGTTTTTGAAATGAAAAATGTTCGTTTTATATAGATTTAAATAAATCTCTTGATATTGAACTTATGTCTAAACCACGTACATATGAATTACAACATTTACTTTCAAAAAAAATGACTGATTTTCTTGAAAATTCATGTCTTTATGCTATTCGACGTGTCCTACCTGGTAAATCATTTCGTTATTTTATCATAGAAAATAAAATATCATTGTTTTTTTTTTCTTTTTATTTGTTCTTAATTATTTAGCTGAATTAGATACAATCTATCGAGCAAATATTCAAGAAAATGAAGATAATAATGATGATGATATAATTGTAAATAAAGAAAGTACTAAAATTAATGAATATTTAACATATAATTGGTTAGAAATTTTTGGTTTCTTTTTTATTAAAATTTAACTTTTGATTTTAGTCTACGATCTAATGATGATCAAGAATCATTTTGGTCAGAATATGCTGGTTCAACAATGCAAAAACATTGGATTTGTCCTTATTGTAATGAAGATATTCTTGTTACTGTTGCTGAACGTGTTGCACATGAAAATCAATGTCAATTAAATTGTAAATATTTTTTCTATAGACAAATTAAATATTACGAAAATTTTATAGTAAAAAATTAATTATTTATATAGAGAAACTATACGAGATAATCGAAATTAAGATATACTTTTTTTTGTTTTTTAACATTAAACTGAAATTATAAGCATTGAAATATGAAAAAAAATAGATCATTCTTTTATAATTATTTTGATGGAAAAAATCAACTTTGAAACGTGAATTTCTCTGATTAAAAAATGCGAAATATTGAAAACTTATTTTCATTTGAAATAAACTTATTTTAATTATATGAAAATCTATGTAAACAGATGGAGTTCCCCCTTCAATACTTTATCGTGTCGTTGGCCTCTCTCTTACTCTCGATATTGCCACTTGACTTCGATCAGTACCTCTTCATATGAAGGAAATATTGAAAAAACAAATGTGTAAAAAGAAACAATATCGTTTAAACTCTTGTCACCGATTATATTATAAAGATTGTGAGGAAAAAAGCGAGGACGAATTATTTCCGAGGTCTAAAATTGTGTCTTGTTTGACTGATAATTTAGCAGATTTTGCTTAGAAAAATGATGATTTGATCAAGATTAATATGCTATTCTGAATCTCAGCTTTAGAAATTGAGTCATTTGATATGCATTTAAAATATCTTTAAGAGATTTTTTCTTTTCACTATGGAAAAATTCATTCCTGGTTCTTCTCCTCAAGATTTAGTTCAATAAAAACTTATTTTGCCAGAATGATAAATTTCACTTTTTTTTTTGACTAAATCATGACGGAGGCTAGAAATGAATTTCTCGATGAAAAATCTCAAATATATTTGAATTTACACATAAGTCGACTCAGATTCTGATTGTGAATTCAGAATATCGTATTAATTTTGATCAAATTATCATTTTTCTAATCCAAATCTGTTAAATTTCAGTCAAATAAGACATAAATTTATGCACTTTCGTCTTTTTAGAAATTTTTTCTTGAAATATCTTTATAACGATTTTATACAACACAAAATGCACTACATTAAAATTGCGTTTCGATTAATAATCATATTGAAAATCAGCTTACAATCGAAAAACAAACTCAATTTTTTTTTTGGATATATCTCAAAATGAAGAAAATTTTAAAAATTCAGTTGTTGATCTTAATGATTAATGTATCGATTTATAACTCTCATAGTAGAATGGCCTCGAAGGCAGCGCATCGTATATCAACCATTTGGTGACATTTTTATATGATATATTATCCTATATATTTGTAAAAGAAAAGAATTCATTTCTAGAAAGAGAAATATTATAGTAAAAAAAAAAAAGGCAGATTTAGGTTAGAATTATAATGATCGAATTCTCATGTTATTGATTGAACTCATAATTAGTTAACATAATAACTACATCTTATAATTAAGATACTCTTTGTTTTTGATCGTATAGGATAATTAGTTTTCTGTCACTTAATATTAATTCCATAGAAATTAACATCTGGAAAATATATTATAAATAAAGATTCTACCAGATTTTTGAATATATTTCAACATATTGATTCAAATATTTTATTGTAAAAATTAAATATACGGAATTCTTAAAGTGTTGATTTTTCTCAAAACAAAAAATACTATTTAGAATTCTTCTAATTCCTATTTATCTGTACACTTAGTATATTATTCATTTAATTTGTATATATATATATCAACAGAACATTAATATGTGTTAAAAAAAACATAGTATTTTATTATCTATATGGATCTGTCTATTCTATATTAAATTAAAAGAGTAGACAGATATTTTGCCTTAATCTTTTTACTATTTTTGATATCATTAACGAACTATTTCACATGATAATAAGCGCATTTTTTTTTGCTCCTAGATTAAATTTTAATTATAAAATGTATTTCAAAGTTTTTCATTAGTGAATTTATATATTACCTTGTCCGGAAAGTTCATACAACTAATACATTATGAAATCTTAGGTTGACAAGTACTGCATTTATTCAATCTAATGACCTTCGCTAGCAATCCCACGTTGCTAATGAGTTACGTATAGCTATTAGCGAAGGTCATTACATTGATAAAATGTAGCAATTGTTATCTTAAGATTTCATAGTATATGAGTTGCATGGACTTTCCGGACAAGGTAATAAGAACGACAATATTTTTAGAAAGAAAAAGAAAAGTACCAATAAATTTAATTAATATGTAAAGAAAAAATAACAAAAGTTCTGTAGTAAAGAGAATAAAAAACATCTGTCCGAACAATAGAAATATATCATTTTTTATGCATGATGTCAATAAATATGTTTTTTGTTTTTAAAGCTTTATGTAATAATGAAAATCCAATTTTTAAATCAACACAATCAAATATTAATAAAACTAATATATTGAGTAATTTAACAACAACAACAACAACACCATCAAATATTCCACTAACACAAGATTATTATTGTGACATATGTGAACAAACATTTAAATTAACAAGTATAGAAATATTACGACATCGTGGTACACATCAAACTTAATATTCTAACAAAAAAAAAAAAATTGTGTTTTTCTTTTTTTTTGTTTTTATAAAAATAAAATATTTGATCTATTATGATCATGATAGTAAATGAGATGGATAATAATAATCTTCGAGGCATTTTGTTTCTTATGTATATATTTAAGAAGGAAGATAAAAAAAAAGAAAAACGACATTAATATAGCCTGCAGATATTTCCTGTGAAAAGAACGATGCTATCTGTAGAATCTTTTTTTTAACACAACATAAATCTATTTCAATCATTCAAATAAAACACTTACTCTTCGCGTATAGTCTTGCAATAGAGCAATAGGAAATGTATCCTTTTTGAAGAATTTTTATTATTAATATTATTACTATTGTCTTCTTGCATTTGTTTTTTTGATTCTACAGACCATCCGGAATAATAAGAAGCATATGTGGACGATAATAATAATTATCATCAAACAGATAGGCAGACATTTTATGTTTTTCAGGATTTTATAGTAACTATATAGATACTATTCTGATTTACTTATCTAGCTTATTAGTCAATAAACCATATCACTTCATAGGTATTTATAAAAAGAAATAAAACAAAAAACTTGAAATGTGAATAAGATATTATTCAATAATTTATTCATTAGGTTCATCTATTTTTATTTTCTTGAATATATATTAAATAAAGTTATTAATAATAACATTTTTATAGACAATTAAGGTAAGAAATGCTTGCTTGCATTGAATATTCAATGAAAAAAAAACCAAAAAACAAAACAAAGATCAAATACAAAATATATAGATAGAAAATTGATAATATGTTAATAATTATTTCTACTAAAAACTTTTTTCTTTTTCCTTTAGTATTTTAGGAAATATTAGCGATGACTGAATCTAATTACAATGATAAATGGATGTTCTAATGTATTATAAATATGACTAATTCATGTTGAGTGATATTAACTGATAGATGAAAGAATCAAATATATCATAGTTGAGTGTATTATTAGCAATACTAGTAGAGAAAAAGAAAACAAAACTAAGAAGCATCAATATCTTTTCGGTTCGAATATACATTACTAAATGGCTAAAACTTACACATACTAGTGTTATTAGAAAAGCTTTTCTTTTTTTTTTCCTAGAACGTCAACAATGCGTGATTCTTTCTATACTTTATTGACATTCAAATCGCGTGTCGACATATATCATTTTTTTTGTCTAGAGATCAAAAATAAAAGAAACTTGGATTGATGTGCACATAGATACATGTAGACAGTATTCTATCCAAACATTTCTAACAAACTATTGAAATGTATTACAACAAAAGTGTTAAATTGTTTGGTCTATCGCCTACAATTATCATGAGGATAATAGATGCAACAAAAAAAAAAAAAAAAAATCCACAAGAAAAAAAGATATATATATATTTCTCCTATCTCTTGCTCTCTCTCTCTCTCTCTCTTTTCTTCTATATCATAACCTTCTTCTTTCTTTCTTTTTTTTCTTTTGCTTTTCCTTTCTTTTGATTTTCAACGCATAGATCTTTTCCTAAAGAAGACGAAGAAGAAAATTTCCTCATGATGAATTTCGGTATGAATAATACAACAACAGCAGCATTACTTATACCTGTTCACATTCCTGGTTTACGTTTACTTATTGTATTTACATGTATTATACTTTATTTATTTGGTTATACAGGTTGTTTATTATCAATAATAACATTTAGTTCAAAAAAACTTCGTCGTCATTCCACTGGATTTTTATTTCTTATAATGGCATTTGTTGATATATTGAATTTATTTGCAAGTTTACAATATTTTATTGATGTTATTTATCAAATAAATGTCTTTACATTATCTATACATTGGTGTCGATTCTTTACAATGTAAGTTTTTTTTTTTTTATGTTTATAATTGGAGAATTTTGATTTTTTCTTTTTTTTATTTAAGTTTTAATTATGAACTTTATTTTGGATTTTCTTGGATATTTGTTTTTATTGCTGTTGATCGTTGGATTAAAGTTGAATGGCCAACAAAAAGTCAAACATTATGTACACGAAGAAAATTTATTTATTTATGTTTAATAACAATATGTTGTAGTCTTTTACAAAATATAATTTATACATTGTTATGTTTTAATAATGATTGTGGACAAAAAAATCTTATATGTGAAATATTTATTCATATTATTTATATAACACTTTATATGACAGTACCGATTGCAATTATTCTTATATCAATATGTCGTACATGTATGATTACAATTAAACTTAAAAAACGTTTTCGAACATCAAGTTCAAATAATCATCAACAACAACAACAACATACAGATGTACCAGTACCACTTAAATTAGAAACACTTGTTCATTGTAATTCTACATCGATTACAACTCGTATATCGAATTCATTTGTTAGTTCACCATCATCAACAACAATAAATAATACAAATTATTCTCAATTTATAACTTCACCAAATCGTTTAGCTCAAATACGTCGACGTCGTTCACGTTTAGATGCACAAATGGTTATATTAATATCAATAAATGTTGCACCATTTATACTTGTACATATAATAACTGAAATAGCATATTTATTTGAAAAATATTCAACATTTGTTGCACAATCAACTGTAGCAAAATTAATTATTATATTAATTTATCTTTCATGGTATTTAATATCAGCAACACGTTTTTATACAAATTGTTTATTATCACGTATATATAGAGAAGAATTTAAAAATCGTTTATATACATTAAGATATGGTTGTAAACCTCGTTCAAGATCAAATGGTCGATCATCATCATCAAGACGACATTCATCAAGATATTATATTGGAAGTATGGTAAATGGTGGTGAAAGTACAACAATTAATATTAAATCAATGGTTATGACATAGAATTTTTCTAATTATATTATTGTCATTTGATGTTGTTTTTTTTTATTATACTGAAACGTATCAAAAAATAGAAGTTTTATTATCAATGGTTAAATAATGAAAATTAAAATATCTAATTCCTTGTTAGTATTATCAATTTACGGGCATCCTACGCTTATCATTTTACAAAAAAATAATGCTCAATTTTTCTTTTTTTAGACATCCAAAAAGATTCTACTATCATGTACAGATTATATACAAATCGATGATGTAGAATTATGGTTTCGTTTGTTTTTTGTTAATATGAGAAGCATCAAGGGATTTCTTTGTTTGCATTTTTATTTGTAATGAATCGAGAAACTAGATAATAAATTATATAGGACATTTTATGTCTTGTTTGTATTTGTCTTCTGTCTATGACCATATACAAACGTTAAAAATTCAACATATTTTGACCTTTAATAATGTGCTGTAGATAAATGTTTACAAAATACATATCTATGTCAATCATACTTCAAGCAGAATGACGTGAAGAAAGAATGATATGGAAATGAGAAACAAAACAAAAAAAAAGAAGCACTGCCATTTATTATCTAAAGGATGTATACAAAGCAATCTAATGAGAATAAATAAAAACAACTCCGTCGAAAACTTATTGAGTAGTATTATATTAAATAGTCAAGCGTATGGAGAAATTCACCAATTGATGATATTGTTTTTGACATCAAGAATATGATTAACAAATTTCCTTTCTTTTTTTTCTTCTTCTCATTGATGTTTTTCAACATTCTTAGTTCAATTTTATTAAGTATAGATATTTTTTTGGAATAAAAATTTGACAAGTATAAGTCTTTACTGATTAATCTATTTCAATGAAATAGAAAGAAAAGAAACGTCTCAAGATATCATATACTTTTAAGAACCCACTCATTTCCGGAGGAACTTACGTCAATAAATTATATAGACAATGTAACATACTTTAGTAAAGTAGAGATAAAATAACTTCAAAAGATTTAATGAAATATATTTATTGTAAAAACAATTCAAAGTATTTCTATAGTCCAATGGAATGATTATGATAATCATTTTACTCATCAAACTATCTGTATTGATAGGAAATAAAAAAACAAATAGAAATGATCATGATCGGAAGAACATGATGGATTCATTCAATTACAACTTAATAAATTTCAATCATAGAGTGAATTGTCATAGTTATAAAACTATGAAATTCTATAAAGTAATTTAAAAAAAAACAACAGTTCAGTAAGATATTAATAAACATAACAGTATTTCAAGTCATTCATACAATTAGTTATTTGACAAGGATAATCTATCAATATAAGCTTTCATGACACTTGAATGATGCTAGAACAATGTATGAACTTAACATATATGGATTATTGACAAGTCCATTAATACTTATATAGAAAACAAATATAAATAATGACCTTGACAATGATTGAATAATTTGCTAGATTACTCTATTACTTTTTTTCTCTTGTCAAGAACATATTATGAGTTTTTTTTCCTTAGAAAATACGATAGTCTAATTTATTCTTATAATAATTTTTGTTTTCTAACCTTTATGATAGAATGTAATCCATTGGGCACATTTCCTGAATAAGATGCATGCAAGTTTCTTATTAGAAACTTGTATAAATGTCAGAATTTTCTTCATGATTAATATGAAATAGAAGAAAATTATTTTTTGAGTATGTTTTTTTTTTAATTATAAACTAAACCACCCACAATAAAGAAGTTCAGTCTCAAGGTTATGATCTTTAAACTATAATAAACGTTTACTCTATCTGAATGAGTAGAAAATAGTAATGTAAATTATCGAATAGATCAATTTATTGTTTTTGTTATTAGCTATTTACTTGTAACTTCTTTTATGTATCTAATTTCGTTTGTTTTGCATGTTATTTATTAACGAACAAATAAACTTTCTTTCGTGAGCTCAAAAATTATGTACACATGAACATTAATGAGTAACAGTTATTTAGGAACGGGTAAACAGGAACTACATATGCTTTTATATTACTCTGTTGGGTTTCTTCCATTTATGAAATTACACAAAAGTATAGAAATGAAACGATGTTATTTTTGCTTATTAAATTGACAAAACAAATATGAATAAATTTTTCATTGAAAACTAAGACATTTTTGCAAAGTTGAATAATATTCGATTGACATTATGTGAGAGTTAATTGTACTCAAAAATAAGTACTAGTATGAGATGAATACAATATTTATTATTGAAACATTCATAAGATTTGAACTACTCTATTTCATCAAAATGAGAAGTTCATGTATTTACTTTATATTTCTTTCAAGATATTTAAATATATATTTCCTCGAGTTTCTGAACTATACATAAACTTCTAAGATGATATTAACGTGGTAAAGCCGTATTGGTGCATGCTTTAGAGAAGCTTTGTTTAATTCCTTCAAAGCTCGATAGTTTCTCCAATGAAAGTATAGCAATAAGGACGGTTTAATATATTCATCTTAAGACTCACGAAATGCTAAGAACAGATGAACACATGAATGAGAAAAGTAATGTGATAAATGTATATCACTCAAATTAATTGAAAAAGTATAGAAATTAATATTTGATTCATCAGTGATGGTATCTAAATTTCCAAACAGTTTGAAAAATCTAATTTATCAAATCTTGTGGTGTACTTCTTTGCTTGTAAACGAATCAAATCATAGCTACAATACAATAAAAGTTTATTTCCAAACTTTTGACTTGTGAAACAGAGTAGACTACTATTTTCTGGACAGATTTAGTAAAATGATAGAAGATCTTTATTTTTATATTTAAACGTCAAAATAAATTTATAAACAATATGTTGTTATTTTCTGTTCTTTTTTCTTTGAAGGTTTATAATGATTTTTATGAAAATCTATAAGGTGTCGCTAATGCAAAATTCGAATGACTTTTTTTCTCTTTTATTTATATACCGTTTGATAGAGGTTGACGAGTCAGTCACGAATACATAGTGTTTATTTCTATTTAATCACTGTTTAGTTGAAAGAAAAGCATAAAAAAATTCGAATGACTGAAAATGTAGCATTGATAGTTATGAGAACTTGGTTGCAGTTTTATAGAAATCATCACATTTCAATTATATTATCTTTTGAAACTTTAAGAAAACATTTTATTCTGATTCAGGATCAAAAAACGAATAGAAATGTGTCATTTGATTAGATTTAGAGGCAGCAAGTTCAAAAAAATCCTGCCCAATAATAGATAGTTCGAACATCTCTCACATCACGTATTTATGAGTATTATCGTAAATCTATATAGTTTTTCTTGTAACAAGTTATAGAAGCGAGTGTCTTATTTAATTAGAATCGCCAGATTGCGAACTACAAAAGTTCCTATTTAATTTCTTCCCATTTGATGGTAATATTAGGCAAAAGGATGAAAAATGCATTTTGTATTTAGCGATTTTTATTACTATGATCTAATTTAGAAGTCGAATAGATAGCATATTTGAAACTACATCAAATCATATGTGTTTTATTAAAAACAGTTTCCGATGGAAAATACATCTGTGATTTCTCTCAGATCTATTTTTCTGAAGCTTCGCCCCTTCTGTTCATTATTTCATTAAAGTAGACAGAATTGATTAAAACGTACGATCAATCGATTATCTTTTCATTAACAAATATTATACATATTAGAATGATTGTATTTGATTAACTTGCACACTTAGAACAAATGATTTTTTTGTTGACTTGTACTGTTCGATCGCATACTGATACACGCCTAGTTTACTATTTGAGAAATCAAATGGATAGTTTTCCCAATATCAAAAATACTTTTTTTTTTCTTGTTAAAACTTATTCTGTGTGTTTGCTATCGATTATTTTTCAACATATCATAAAGCATGATAATCAAACATTGTGCTGATAATTTCGATTCATTTTGTTTTTAAAGCATTCTCATGCATTATCCGGCAATGATTAATTCTGATATTCATCATTGATTTCATTCTCAATGCAATATAATGCATTATTATTTGATGATACTATGTTGGCTGATATTGACTTTTATTTTCATGCATTATAATGAAATGACATCTTCTCTTATGCTATATTGATTTCTATTTCAATGGATTATTATTAAAAATGATATGATGATATCAGCTATTGGTTATATCTGAATGAATTATAATGATATTTTGTTGTCATGAGATGATATTTGAATATCCTGTACATAATTCATACGTAGGATATCTTGGAGCTGGATTCAAGTATTTCGTAACTGGATTCGTCTATAGGCTATACCAAACGCTAAAAAGGCTATATCAGGATAGATCTCAACGAGTTCTATCGATTCCACTACTTATTTTTTTCCCAGGACCCTTTCTTCATCGAGAAAAACCCGAAATACTGATCAAAAATTAGCAAAAAACAATAGTTTTCCGTATAACGCACCGCGATTCGCTTATAGGTTAGGCCAAACAACAAAATTTTATCCACAGACAGAACTCGTCGATATCTATCTTGGTATAGCCTTTTTAGCGTTTAGTATAGCCTACAGACGAATCCAGTTACGAAATATTCGAATCCAGCTCCAAGATATCCTACGTAAAAAAAAAGCAATTTCGTAAAGCTTGATTACACCAATGTACGAATAAACTGCAGACACCGAAGTTATATACGTCGTTTCAGAGAAAAAAAACAGTAATTTTGAACAAATCGGCACTTTGTAAAAAAAAATTTCAAACTGGACGTCCAGCGGAAGAGGAGTCAGTAAAAAATGGACATTTCTGGACAGGAAGGGTCGAAAAATGCCATTTTTTCACTGACGTCCTATATGGGTGGCCCCAAAACACTAAACTACAACAGTCCTGATCAAGAAAAACCAATGGAAAGAAATTTAATTGCGACGAACTGTATATCAACACTGTAGACGCAACATATTTTTGTATTTCGTTGTGTGCGCATGGCATTTAGATTCGTCACTTCTATAAAAACTACTGAAAGCACGCATTTAAATACGATATTGATTTTTTTTTTAATATTCTCATATCAACAGCTGATCCATAATGCATGCCTACAGACAATTGAAGATAAAATGGTATTAATTAGTTTTGAACGCAGCGCTCCTCTTAACTGGTATGATCGACATTTCATGCAGAATTGAGTGAGAATGAAGGCTGTCTATGAAGTGAACGAGCACTGACAGTATATCAAGTCATGAAAGTCAACCTACATCTCGTATATCTTAATATAATATGACACGATTGAATAGTCTTTATCGTAACCGTCTACGAATGAGTGTAACGAACAAGACGGATATTGAAAAAATTTGAATAGACGCATTTCATTCATAATTCTATTCTTGACGAAACATCGTTATTCATTTATGAACAAACATAGCTGTTATGAAAGGTCACAATATTTAACATTGACCTATTTAACATTGTCATTGTTGACGACGTCAAGTATGATATAGAATGAACATCGACATATATATATATATATGTAAGATTGTACTCGAGATAGTTGTCATTTATAATTCGATATGAATTATTCAACTGTTAATATCCTTACTTTATGCGATGAAATGTTGCTCAGCATTTTCAACAAACTCAATAATACTGATGAATTATATTCACTCATAGGAGTCAATCGAAAATTCGATAGATTGGCGCGAGGCATTACTTTTACACAATCTCTTGATTTAGTTACCATATTATCCAATACAGATAATGGCTCAAGAAATAAGTCAATACTCGATCGATTTTGTTTTGATATTTTACCTCGAATTCAACACAATATTGAATGTCTTACTCTTGATCTATTGTTAATGGATCGTATTCTTCGCATTGGGAATTATTCTAAACTTCATAAAATTAATCTTGTTATTTTTCAACTTGAAGTGGCATCTTGCATTCTTAGTGGTATGTTATCTATTCTCTTAATTTTGAAATTTTGAAATCAAATTGATATAATTAATTATATATATATATTTAGACGAGTCATCAATTATTCACATCTTTAAAAATCAAATTTCGCATCTTACTGTTACAATTAAGCGTGACAATAGACGTGTAGATCTAAAGAAATTCTTTAAAAATATTTTTATCACTGTTTTCATTATGTTTATAAATCTAACTTATCTTCATTTCGATGTAAAAGACATGTATCCATATTCACCAATATCACTTATTGATTTACCATCAACAACATGTTATTCATCAAGTATTGCCTATTTGAGTGTTAGCGTGCGCAATTTTAATGATTGTCTTTGTTTACTTGATGGACGTCTTAGTCAATTACATACATTTATTGTCAAAGTTTATCGTATTCACAATACGTCAATGATTATCAATAATACGGTAAGATTGTTTTCAATGACAGTAAAAGAGTTTCATGTCGTTGTTTTGATAGAATGATAAACCATTTGTGGCAAGAGATAGATTACTAAATGTATGAATAAATTTATAAACACGGAGTTTATATAGTGATAGTTCTGTGTAACAAATATTATTAAAAATAGTATACAATTTAAGCAAATTTCCTAGAAGTTTTTTTATTTAATATGAAATTAGTAGCTAGACACTCTTGAATGAATTTGACTTTATTAGAGAAAACAAAAAAAAGTAAACATTATAAAAAAAAAACAGATTTAAGAGGAATATTTTTGAGAGACTTTATAAAGTATGCAAATAAAATATTCGTTGAACTTCGTCTTCAATAATTTCATAGAGTTTGTTCATGTATCGATTAGATAGTTTCATCATTGTTAGTATGAAGCAACATTATTTTCAGTTTTTCCTTTTATTCTTCGAATCTATCAAAATTGTAATCGACGGAAAAAATTATGTTATTATAAATAGGTTTAGATATTTGACACTTATAAATGCTACAAAAACTTATGAAACCAACAACTGAAATATCAAATGATAAGAAAATATTTATCTGATAATTAATTTTGAAACTTCGAGGTTACGAAAACTAAGTTTAGATGTCATAATTTACATTAAATGTCACCAATCTTTGCTGAAAAAAAATGAAAGAACAGTGATTGAGTGAGAAGATGCTGTCATGTATCAATATATTTGATCAAATATTAATCTATGAATTGATGAATCATAGAGAGAATGAATAAGATCACAAGTATTTGAATACCTGGTTAGAACTAACTACTCTTGATGTGAATTATTAATTTCACATTATTTAATATTTATGTTACTTTTTTTTTGTAGAAAACTCTATCGAATTTAAAATGTTTCTCGTTGATTTCATTTCGTTATACAATTGAATATGATAATCATATTTTACCATACCTTCGTCAAATGTCACAATTAGAAAAACTTACATTATCTCTTATTGTTCGTCATCGAACTTCATTCATTGATGGCGCTCATCTATTTAATGATATTCTTAGTAAAATGTTATATCTACATACGTTTATCTGCAACATCATCACTGGAAATGTTGTAATGGATGCAGAATTTTTACCAACACCTGATGATGTTAGACATCCACTCATCGAAAAAGGATATAATGTTAATGGTTATACTGACTATACTAATTTAAGCAATGGCCTATGCCACATTTATTCGGTTCCGTTCACTATGGACCGCATGCATATACATTCTAATAAATTTGCTGGTGGTTTATTCATCACTGTTCGTTACCTATATCTGCAAGATTACGTTCATTCATTTGAACATAATTTCTTTGCTGAAATCTCTCGAGCTTTTCCATTACTACGTACATTGATGATATTTAATCTAAGTGGACAAGAGAAATTAAGATATCAACCAAATGAACAAGAAGAAACATCTTCAATTATTGAATTTTCTCATCTTATCACCCTCGGTCTCACTATGTGTTATATCGACTATGCGAAACAATTTCTTTTCGATTTCAACACACGTCTACCTTATCTTAAGAAGTTATATATTAAATATGAAGACTTGATGATCGTAACAGAAATTTTCACCAACAATGCTGCTCGTGCTAACTGCTCAAAATTGGAACGTATTATCTTTGATTTAGAACCAATGAGCTATCCAGAAAACTTTCATCTTTATTTTCCTTTGTTGTAAATAAGATTTTTTTGACTCAATTATAATATTTTGTTTATATATGAATCAAGAAAATAAAGAAGAAATGAAAGTGATCTTGATATAACTGGTTATTTGATTGTACATGGTGCTGATATGCAACTTGTTCGAGATGAAAATTATATATGTATGATAAGATTTCAGTTGAAGTGCGTACTATTGAATTGGTCAATGAAGTAAACAAGTCAAACGTTCTGCACCACTATATATTGATTCTTCGATAACATTTATTCGGAGAAATTTTTCTAATGAAATAATATTTTCAACATGACTTGATAATTAGAGATTTAACATAAAGTAGTATTCTCACAATAATAAATCAACTTTGTGATATCTCACAGTTTCATTGTTTGTTAGTATCAAATCAAAGAACGGATGACTAGTTCTTTTTATATAAACTGAAATTTGTGCACAAATTCATTTTATCTAGCTAGACTAGGGCCCGGCGTGACCAACTTTTTTAGTCACGGTCACGAGGGTTTTGATTATAGCCATGATCACGGTCACGGTCATATTTATCGGGTTTGTCGTAACTTATTTGGTTTTGGCTTTGTTAGAACATCAATATAGGTGCTGATGGAATTAGATTTGAGAAATAAGTGACAAGTTTGCTCGAGTGAAAGATATGAAAATTAGCACGTGGCGTATAATGTGCAAGGCATATGTATAATGTTGTTAAAATTATCTTGTGTGAGATAGTATGCATATTGGATCAATAAGTACTGAGATATGTGTGACGAGAGAAATAAAATACGGTTTTTTTGATTGCATTTACCTTGTACTCTTGTATTTATGTGCAGAAAGATTGCAGATAAAAATGAGAATAGTGTGTAACATATATAATGAGTAATTTTATTTTTGGCGAGCTGCTTTTCGAAATTCGATATTGTATGTGCCATTCAAGATGCAAAACTAGAGAAGAAAATTAGGAAAGTGCAACATTATATAGAGAACATATAAGTACGAATGCATGTTTATATCTGGAGAAAATTTATTTCAAGCTCAATTTCATTTCGAGATATTTTTGAACTTAAAAAGAATGAAAAGTTTCTTTCATTTAGTTAAATCAATTTTTATGCTATCTTAAAACAAATTAATATTTTATGACATTCAGACTATATTATGTAGTTATATTTCATTTTATTTCAAGGAACTCTGATAGAAAACAAAGTAATCGATCATTATTAGCCATATTGGATATAATGGCTTAATGTAAGAAATAAATTGGAATGCTACTAGTATGCTGTATATCACTCTCATGAATGTGAAATATATTAACATTTATAGTAAATTACTTAAATTTGTACTGTTAAGTTTAACGACTATTGGTATGTCTTTAAAAAAAACCATTTTCAATCTAATGAAGTCTGTAAAAACAGGTATCTTAAGACTAATCAAACCTAAATTTGAATAAAGAATTTAGTTTTTCTGAGACAGCCTAACTTTAACATAGAGAAAACTTGGATTCATTTCAAAACTATAATTCTTCGAAAATGTACAATTGCATCATCTATAGTATTTTGCTCTGATTTTTAACCAGATGTGCTGATTGCTGGATGGTTAGCAGTAATTAGATGCCGAAAATTCGTAGTAAACAGTACTTTGTTGTTCTTGTATGTTCATAGATAGTTTTATAATTAAATTATGACTCATTTCAGCTACTATTTCATTCATTTATTATCCTCTCTGTTTAGATCAAATATTTCTGGAAGATCATGTCACCAAAGAAAATCAAAAAACGAGAAATACCCAAATCGAACACAAGTATTATTGTTTCGCAATAAAAAATTGTAACCAACTTATTTTGCTTTTCAATTTAGTGGTGCAAAATGATTTATCTATGAAGAAAGGTAAATTAGAACGAAAAACAAATAATCATATCAAACCTAAAGAATATGATTCTGCTTCCGATTGCCATAGTGACACAATATTTGTCGATGAATTCATATAGAAATATGGATGTGTTAACAAAAATGACGAAGAAATCAATCGATTATTTCAAATGTCAACTTCATCATCACCGATTACAACAGCAACAAATATTTGCAATGATCGATCATCTATTTTGGAAGCGATTTCAACTGATCAATTATCAATTACAACAAGAATAAGATCTATTTCAACTTCATCATTAAATATAGCAAGGGTGTGGTGTGTGGGTGTCGATGTTGGGTGTTGGTATGGGTGTGAGGCGCGGGTGTGGGTGTCTTTTAAGAAAAGATCCATGCTAACACCCCATATTCCTACAGCCGCACTCACATTCAAATCCTCACCCACACCGACACCCCAAAACAAAAAAAGAAAAAATAATTCATTCACCTTCTTCCTTAATTCATCTGCATCTTTTTTCCACAAAAATTCATTCTAACTTTTGATTTCTTCAAAAAACATATATGTATTTCTCTCAATCCAAATATATATGAAACAATTTCCAATATTTCCCATATTTCAATAGAACAAAACAAACAATTCACTTTGGACAACAATCGATTCAAATTTATAAAGATACTAGTTAGCAACCGAAAAGGAGAAGAGAGCAAAAAAAGGTAATAATAAAAAATAATAGAAAAGTCAACAATCCGCTAAAAAATTACTGATACCAACTAATAAATTACTAACATAAAAAAACAAAAATGAAAAATTTATCTTTTCTGTTCCTGTTGATTTGTATTATTTTCTACATCCGTAAAACATTCTCCTTATAGATTTATGTTACTGTCCCTTCTATAAAATAACATTTTCTCTTTATTAATTTGTATTTATTCGTCTATGAGACTACTTTTTCCTTAACAAGTTGTACAAAAAAAATTTTTTCTTTTCCTCTATTAATTTGTATTTTTTTCAACTTCCACAAAATATTGTTCCTTACGATGAGTGTTCTTGTTTTCCTCCTATGAACGTGTATGACTTTTCTACTTCTAAAAAATAATTTTCTCCTGAAAAATATGTACATAGGGTGATCAAAAAATTCTCGGAATTCGCTGTAGTTTGTTCAAGGAAACGATATTTCGTCCATTTTGCTACACCATATATTATTGGTAGTGATCGTGATGTACTATGCAAAGTTTTATCCTTTTAACTCACTCTTAAGGTATCGTTTCGAAGTAAACAATAGATATCAAATTGGTCTCCTCGATTATTACCCCCGTTCAGTTGTAACAGGTGCTGATTATCTAGGCTATCTTGAATCCATCACCAACACCAAGAGTCTGAAAGTTCAGTCCATGGTGAGTACTCTTGACAAGAGTTAACTTGATTCTGGTCCCTTAAAAGTAGATAATGACGGTGCCATACATGTTGCTCAAAAAATCACGAAGGAAATTGTTGGGATCATAGACCATGACCATCCTTCGTTGTTGGCTGAATCAACTAATTATACATTTAAGTGTTTATCACTAGTATAGGCAGTATGACTAGTTGCTATAGAAATGACTACATGATAAGAAATGGCTCGTATATGATTAAGAGTTGAGATATCTTATTGCTTCTGATAGCGTTAAAGATTAATGCCATTTGAAGGATGAGTTTCATCTTCGCGAACCCAAGTTTCGATCATAATTTTGATCGAATTTTGGGATAGCAAATCTGAATCTGTTAGCCATTAATGGTATCATATAAAATTCAGTTGTGATCTAGAAATCATTTTGATCTTTTAAAGTTCGAAACAGCTAGTGGATTCCAGCAATAACCGAGGAGATCAAATCGTTTACTTCAAATCGATACTTTAAGAGTGAGTTAAAAGGATGAGACTTCTCGTGGAATATTACAATCACTATCTCTAATATATGGTGTAATGAAATGGATGAAATGTCGTTTCCTGAACAAAATACAGCGCACTCCGAGAACGTTTTGATCATCCTATGTGTTTTTATTATCAATATATAATGATAAAGTTTTCTTGAACTTCCTATAGGATATTGAAATGCCTTCGTCACTACTTTTTGTATCTCATAAATAAATTTAGAATTTTTCGATAGTTAAATTAACCCGTAGAACATATGGCTTCGAAACTATGAATTAATCAAGTGCATAACTGAAGCAGAATCTTTTTTCAAATATGACAACTAGTGACAATCAAACAATTTGCTACAAAAACAGACCAATAAAACCTTTTCACCTTTGACAAACGAATGATGATGACGATAGATTTGTTTCTAACATTGTTCCATTATTAATCGTAAATTTTTTCTTTAAAAAATATTTAATATGGAAATTATCTACGCGGTAGATGCTAAGATGACAAATGATGGTGAAGAATTTGAACGTATATTAGCAATGGATATATCTTGTATGAATATTCTTGCTTGTTCAACTTATTATTTATTGGCATCAAGTAAACTTAAATATAGTTCACATCTTGTTTCAACGTATAGTCTCTTTTAAATTAATCTTTTTTTTAAAATTAATTATTGTTATCTTTTTTTTTTTGCATTGTAAAGACCTTTACAACAAGCAGCAAAATCTTCATTTTGTGTTTATGTTTGTGCACTTGAACAACCATGGCATTTTGGTTTAATAGCAACATCAATTGTACCTATTGTTCATATTGTTTGGAGTCTTGATGGAACACATTTACTTGTTTGTAATCAAACAGGACTCTGTCGAATATTTAAAATGAAAGTAAATTAATATTTTATAATTGTTTTCTTCTTTTTTTTTTCTTTCTAATTACATTCTTATTTTTAGAATGGTTGTATTAATACAATGGATAATCTATATCAATATGAAATAAATGAAGATATTCTCATCGCAAAATATATTTTTCATAAAGAACCAGTTAGAATTCTTAACAAATAATCAACATTCAATATTATTATTTTGTAATTTTTCATTTTTTTTCTTAGATAGTCGTTAATCTTGATAGAAAAGATTCATTATTTTATGGAAAAGAAGATGGTCAATCACCGATGTTACCATATGCACTTAATACAGGCAATTTTGTATGTGTAACAACATCAGGAACGGTAAGTTTCAATTCATTT